ATATGATAACAAATCAATTAAGATAATGAATATGAACAAACAGAAAAGACGAACCATATTCATTGGACATTTTATTAGCTGTTTATCATATTTGTTGGCTATTTTTGCGCTCACTCTTTATCACACAAACATTTTGGTCTATCAGGGATTTACACAAGTAGTGAATACGCGAGCGAAACGTTATTTTTAGGTCGGTGCTTATGTACTGATTCGAACCTTCGAAGTAGTGATCGAAATGTAAGCTTCTTCAATGGTAGTTTTAAAATATCTAGGAAGGTCAGAAAGAAATCAACCGAACCAGATCTCAGGTGATCATAGATTTGCTCTACAATGCTAACTTTTCAAACACTCTTTTGAGACATCGGCTTTGGCTAAGCTTCTTTTTATAAAACGTTTTGGCTATTTTAATTCGATCTTAAGTGGGTGCTTTATCATCTGTAATTGAAAAAGGTACATCACTAAAAATCGTACAATCATTCATAAATCGTTAAGTGTTTAGTGCTTAGGTTTATTATTTTTTAATAAATGCTGCGAGCATCACGTATTTATCAGTTTTGAAGATAGTAATGCTGAACTTTTTTCATCTAGTAATATACTGATATGCTATTTCGAAATAGAACAAACATGCTTATCTTGTGCTAATATAGTGAGATGAATCATAGATTTGTGTCTTTATGCCTTAGTTCCATTTCATATGTTGTTCTCATATTGATTGCCTTACTCGGGTCACGACCACAGTTTGTTTCGGTGACTTCAATGTCATTCTGAAGAGTTCAACGTCAACGTAAGAGAGTTTATTTCATTGTTCGTAATGTAAAGCAAATTTATCAGTTCTAAATGATGTAGTCATTCCTAATGTTGGCTTTTGTTGACTGCGTATGAAATCGACAATTTCGTTGGATCAAGAGGGTACCTGAAAACAATCGTAATAATATTGTCGTGACCTTCTCATCTTCTCGGCCTTCTCATTTTCCTCACCATTGTATGACTGAATTCAAATACACGAACAAATCAAGAGATGTTTAAATACTGTGGTCGCAACCCGAACTGGCTATAAACTGTGGTGTTTGTAAGGGGATGTTCCACCGTAATACTTACTATAAATCACCTCTTTTGCTAACGGTTGTGGTTTTCTTTGCAGTTTTGTAAACATGAAAACGTATTTTCTTCTATCTTGAACGGTTTCGTCATCTACAGTGTGCGCACTGACAGGTCAATAGAAACGTTCGTCGAAAATGAACTGTTAAAAATGCATCGAGTGAAAATTTTTCCGAAGCTTCTGTATTCAGCTGACAGGAATACAGTCAGAACATAGCTTATAAGTTAGTTCATTCAGTCCATAAAACAACAGTGTGCAAAAAAACTGTGCGTCAAATGAACACTTTCTTTCGTTCTCCTTATTTCCCGATTCAATTCTCCTTTGTTCTCGCTCAAACATATGAATCTCTTCTTTTGTGTATCTGTATTTCGGCACAACGAACATTTCGATCCTTCTTTCAGTTTCCGGAATCTTCGATGCTTATGAATGGTTTCGAAATTATTCGCTCTATGATCGCTTCGTATCACATTTTGCGATGCACCCTTCCTTCAGGTATTCGCTGAGCAAGCATGACTGCTGAAGAAAATCATCCAATGCTGAAAGCAGGTGAAAGCAGTCATGAACCTCAGTCTAGTTCTTCACCCGAAAAGAAAGTTCTTCTAATACCCAAGGATCTTTATTATGGTACTGGAAATGCTGACCATGGGGTTGATGCTGGGAATGCTAACCGAGAGGGTGATGTTGAAAATGCTGACCAAAGGGATGCTGCCGAAAAAAAAATACGTGAGGTAGGATGATCACCGAAGATTATTTATTCTGAAACTCACCATGCTTCGAGAACATGCTTTCATCGTAGCTACTTTTCGAAAACAGCTAAACAAACGATAGATTCATGTGATCGTCGTCTTCTTGTGCAGTGTTTCATTTTTTACGGATGTGTGACAACGTTGAACGATCGGGTCGTTTGCTTGCATACGGATCAGCTGGTTGGATCCAGTTCTGACAGCTACAGAAGATTGATGATGATCACGAAACTAAGTTAATGATCTGTTTACGTGAGGGTTTGCCACTCAAGACGTTCAGAACAATTTTGCTGTTCAAATACATCAGCAAAATGTTTTCACTGCGACGCTGGTGTTTCAAATTCAGTACGACTGCTTAGNATCACCTCACCAAATTCAGCATACTGGCAAGCTGACTCGTCTCTACATGAAATACACTAACACTTCTATTATGAATATGTTTTCAGATTGTATTCTTCTTCGTGCTGACACTTTTCGAGGAGATTGTAAGGTTCTTCTTGACGTAGTACGTGAGTTTAGAATTTAAGCGATCGTAGAAACTGGCTTGATTGCTTCCAATTATTAACTTGTCAGTTTTGAAAGCATATCGTGATCAGAGCACAGAATCAAACTCTCTAAAGCTATGAATAGTGCTCCACGTCGCTACAATCGATTATTCGATTATTCGATTATTCCGTTTTGCAGATGTCTGAAACGTTTTCCGGCTCATCGAGCCAGAAAACAGGACATATGTTCACTGTAAATTTGGATACGTTCTCCATTTCCCTATTTTTTGACGTGAAGCTTCTGGTCCACTGATATGATGCAATTTGCTCTTTTAATTTTAGTGCTGAAGAAACGATCACGCAGCAATTTCAATTATCAGCATCCCCGTGGAAATATTGGAGTATATTGTTAACCCTTGTCTACATACCGGTCATATTGGGTGCAACCAAAATTGGCACGAAGGTCGGAAAAATACATCGAATTAAACATTTTCCACCCGACAGTTCCATACAAAATTCCTCGCGTGATCTTGAAAGTTCTCGACGTTCAAATTATAAGCCACTTGGTTGTCAATCGCAAATCGTGTGATGCNGAGTCACTTGAAATCAGATGAGGCGAAATCGAGCTAAGCTGCTGTGAGGTCAGATGAAAAACTTGCTAAAAAATATCGTTCTCATTACAATAGCTACTTCTGATGGAGCAGTCCCCAATGCGTATTGATAACAAATTACTGATGAAGCGTTTACAATATGTGAACAAGGAACTACAAAATTGAAACATTTCCTTCCAAAAGTGGCATTTTACGATCTAGGTTTGTCCGGGTGTTTACCAGATGTGCCCGTTGATCTGGCACCAAATTTTGAAGTGAGATTCATTGCCGGATTAGGGATGGCAACGGACCTTGCTGCTGCGCTTAGAATACCGACTTTCAAAACCTTATAACAAACACTCCATCCAATTGCAGATGGGTGAAGGTCGTGCTATCAGCATTGGTTTTGTCCTAATTTCGTTCGGTTACATCCTAATTGGATTAACCCATCACATTTTCCGTGTTAGTGAGAATCAACTCAATCAAACATATATTGGTAATTTTGTTTTTTGTTCTTTCTACATTTCAGTGAAGTGTTAGAATGAACCTCCTGTGCATCGCGAGTGATTATATGGAACGGAAGAAGCATAACGATTTCTGAAAACATCCCGACAGCGAAACTGTGCGAAATTGCAACAAGCATTAAGCGTAGTGCAATCAAGCGTTTTGCAAAACGGTGTATGAAATGTGATTCAACAAGCCTATTTTATTCATAATGCAAACAGTATGCACAAGTTTGTCAAAAATTGATTTAGTATGATAATAAGCGTCTGTCTACTCGCAACAAACCAATTTCTGACGGTAGAGAGTGAAATTATGCGAGAAACAGCTGAATCACTATCAAATCCATCCACAAATCCTCAATGTTCAGTAATTGAAGCTTTTGATGAAGTCATTACTCTCAGTTCCCTCAGGACTCATGAGCAGTTCTGAAATCTTTGATTCGCTTAGCTTCGCTGTCTGTCGATGAACTATTACTGTGGCTTTTATTCAGTTTATGTTTTCATCGGTAACAGCAGAGATGAGAGATGATTTTCTGAAGAAGGATTGCGACAATCAGCATGTGCCGCGAACACTGCTAAGAAATTGTTATTTTTAGTTGATCGCGCCGTGCGGCATCCCGAGATGCTCAACAACTCGGTTACCGTTCAATCATTCATTCGATATCTGAACAAATCAGGTTACTGGTCAAATTCATCGCGACAGGTTATTCGACCTTTAATGCATCCCCTTTTTATTTTGATGCTTTCTGCTGGCCCATTGGCTATCGAGGATT